TGCTGTGAGCTAGGATGACGCCACGGCACTCTAGCCTGGACAGTGAGACTCTGTCTCAAAAAAAAAAAAAGGTAGAGACGTGCGCAGCAGACCTCACAGCCACGGCCTCCCCGTGCTGGCACACCCAGGTCTGGGCTTTCTCTTTGAATGGGAAGAGGAAGGGTGGGGCCTTGGCCGCCTGCAGAGGGGGTTGGTAAGCAGAGCGCTGAGGTGCTGAGGTCCCATAAGGAGAAATAATGGGGCGCACCCCTCCCCCAGGTGGCTGAGATTCACAGGGGCTGGCTGCACCCAGTGCACCCACTGAGGGTCACCTCCTCTGGAATGATGGCTCTTTTACTCTGACTCCAGGGTGGCTGCCTGAGAAGTCTAAGGTGTGGGCTAATGCAGTTCATTTGGCATCGGACCTTGAGAATAAAGAAGGTGCCCCTTGGTTACCAAATGCGTTTCTTACATGTGTGCCTGTGTGTGTCTTTATTTTTACTGTGTGTATGTGCTTCTCCCTCTGCATCTGCCATCTGGGGTAGTTAGCTTGTCTGACTAAACTGAGAGATCAAAGTCATGGCCCATACCCAAAGGGGACAGTTTGAGGGAATTTGTTCCCCATCCAGGGAGATCTTGGCTTGTGACCACAGGCTGCATTCCTAATGCCAGCCAGCCATGTGGCAAACACACGCACTTGGTCAGTTCAATTCATTTTACCAGGTTTTTGTTAAGTCGTCTAGATGCCAGGCACCATGCAAAGGCACTTGGCAAATGGAGATGAGACAAGAGTAGATCTGGGCTGTGATGGTTGGCAGGATGCTGGATGGAGGAGTCTGTCCGCGTGCGTTGGGCGGTGGGAGGAGGTTGATGACCCCGAAATGGATAGGTTGTGGGGGAGGGCCAGAAAGCATGCTGGGGGCTCAGAGGTACAGGGGAAGGGGGCAGAGCTTCCATTAGAAAGTGGCATTTGAGATAGGCCTGGAAAGATGGTTCAAAAGATTTTTTGGGAAGACCAAAGCATTCATGGTGGCCAAAACGATACACAGAGTGCGTTCATATGTTATATAAATAAATATGTTTATAAGCATCTCTCTCTATCTCCCTGGGTAAGATGGTGCATTTGTGTCTCCATCTGCAGCCTTCCTTACTCCTGGCCTAGAGACCAAATTTCTTTCTTACTATCACCCATTAGCTTACAACTGTGATTTCTGCTAAAATGGAAACACCGCTGGAGGAGGTTCTCAAATCCTTTTAAGCTCTTTTTACACATTTCCTGTGTAGATGGGCAGGGACAGGAAGCTCAGCCATCCTGCGGGTTACCTCCCACCATCTGGCCCCCCGATCTGGGCTGGTTTCTTCCCCCTTCCCCAGAGGCCGCGCTGTCCCTCCTTATCATCACTACTTGTTTCTCTTGGGTTCCTCTTGATCCACCCACCATCCAGCAAAATGCTGTTTGCCAATTTTTTCCTGACCCACCTACATTTGTGATAAACGTACGTATTCACTGTAGGTTTGTGAGTTACTGTAGGAGGATACACATGGAACCACTGGAAACGCTGTCAGTATTTCTCCTGCTGGTCCTGCCCTGGGCCAGATGTCACATGGGCTGGACCAGCTCTTCCAGTCTTCACAGTGGTCGTCCACAGGTGAGCCCAGGAGCAAGTGCAGTCTCCCGTTAAGTAGGGTGCCGAGGGGCTGTGTCCTTTGGGGATTGGGTATAAAACATGGTTCTGGTATCGTAAAGAAGAAAACTCGCCAGAAATGGATCTCTGTCTTGGGCCGGTGACTCTGTTGCTGCAGGGAGGGCCTCTGTGCCACGAGCAGGGGCGAGGCAGTGTCCAGGCAGCAGTGGCCATAGACGTGGGAGTGGCCTTTGCTCCCTCTAACCAGGCTGTGTCTCTGCTCCCTCTGCAGCTGGTGCTGCCCGAGTACTCCATCCACAGCCTCTTCTGCGTCATGTTCCTGTGTGCGCAGGAGTGGCTCACGCTGGGGCTGAACGTCCCTCTACTGTTCTATCACTTCTGGAGGTAAGTCTGTGGGGCTGGCCTATCCGTCCTCTTCTCTGCCTGAGCAGCCTGCTCTCCAGTGACAATGTTCCCCAAGCAGACAGCCACCCAGTGCCGTCTTCTCACCCCCTCCTTTCGGGGACCCTCTCTCCAAAGCCCCCTTCCCAAGCTGCTCCTAGGCAGCAAGTCCAATAAGCGAAGGCCTTTCTCGTCGGCGCCATTAACCACATCCCCAGCCCTCGGGGGCTAGTGTCGAACGTGGCTACAGCAGCATTCACAATAGCCAAAAAAGCAGAAGTGACCCACATGTCCATCAGCTGATGAATGGATAAACAAAATGTGGTCTATCCATATGATGCAATATTATTTGGCAATAAAAAGACTTGAAGTACCTGTACATGCCACGGCATGGATGAACCTTCAAGAAAATATAAGTGAAAGAAGCCAGACACAAAAGATCACGTATCGTATTATTCCATTTATATACAACGCCCAGGATGGGCCAATCTACAGAGACATAAAGTAAATTAATGTTTGCCAGGGTCTGGGTGGAAGTGAGAGTAGGGAGGGGCTGCTAATGGGTATAGGGTTTTCTTTTTAGGGTGATGAATACGTTCTGAAATTAGATAGTGGTGACAGTTCACAGATCTATGAATACACTAAAAACCACCGAATTATACACTTTAAAGGGTAAGTTTTATGGTATGTAAGTTATATCTTAATTAAAAAAAAGGCACTTACCAGATGGGCTGGATTTTCTGGGACAGTTATGATTTCAAATATTCTATTCCCTGCTAAGGCCATGCGTCAGATCACGTGATCTGGGCTTTTTGTGAAATAGAGTCACCATATGGATATAGGAGGCAAGGTGGAGAATACCAAAGGAGTAGGAATGTAACCGTGCAGACAAATTGTAAGCCCTTGACCCCTTGCCCCCAGAGCTTCAGTGCCCCAAATGTTTTAGCATTGTCATTTTACCATAAAATAGAGCCTGTACTCAGTCACATCTAGAGCATTCAGCATTCCCTCCGTCCGTGGCACACATATGGAACACATTCGTCATGGCAGGCATTGTGAGGGGTTTCAACACAAATGTAAAATATAGTCCTCACCCTCAAGGAATGCACATCCTCCTGGGAGAGGGAAATATATTCTTAACAACCATATGAGGAATATATATAGGAGCAGAGAGAAAGAAGCACTTGAATGGGACTGAAAAGAGACATTGCAAAACCTGGAAAAGCACATTCCCGGGTGAGAGACTAGCATGTGCAAAGGCCCAGAGGTGAGAGAGCGCTCGGTGTGCCGGGAAACAGTAATTGCTCAGGGAGGCTGGGTGTAGGGTTCTGGCAGGGTTGACGGCTGAGCCTCTGGTATGGAGGGCCTCAGAAGGCGAAAATGGCATTATCGGATCCGATGTTTAGGAATGTGCCCCTGGCAGCAGTGTAAAGGACGGGTCAGAGGGCGAAGTATTGGGGATGCAATCCCACTAGGGCATCCCGGTGAAATGCCAGGCAGAGAGATGAGGGACACTGGGCAGGGTTGGGGAAGTCGGGATGGCAAGAGAACAAGAGAGCCCTTGGACACGAACTGGATCGCCTTGGCCGTGAGTGGGTGCAGGAGGAGAGGGACAGGCCGCCCCTGAGCTGGGTGGCTGGAGGGGGAGGGTCGATGACCAGGAGCAGGATAGAAGAAATCACAGGTTTAGGGAGGAAAGAAAATGATTCGGTCCCACTTTAAGTAAAGGCAATCTGCTAAAATCTGAAATTAGAGAGAAGTCAAGTAGAATTATGTTGTGGGAGCGTATTGAGTCCCCACGCGGGGACTCTCCGAGCTTCCCTCCTGCAGTGTCTACAGCTGATTGAGGTGGGTTCCATTTTCCCTGTTCCACACGTGAGGACACAGAGACTCACAAAGGTTATGTCAACTGCACAGAGTTGGCAGGGCCGCGGTTCCATCCCACTTCTGTGTGAATCCCTGTCACGTCCTGGCCACCTCACACGCTGCCCCAGGGGGCTGGCTCTTCTCCCCAGGAAAGGACCTCATCCCAAGGTGCTTTAAGCAGTAGGTTGTCAAGCCAGGGTATCAAAAACGTGGTTAATTGAGCAAACTTTGATGGGTGCACTGAAAGCTGGCCAGTGTCCTGACACTGGGAATGTTTGTGTTACGGAGGAAGGGAGCAGCTGCGATCTCTTTGCCGTAGGAACCTTGTCTTACTTTTTTTGAATCCCTGACGGGATCTAGCCAAGTTCCTGGCAGTTAGTAAGTGCCCAGAACGGGAGAGAAGAAAGAGGAGAAGGGGAGAAGTCCTTTAAAACTCAGAGCCCTTGCACACCCTCCTCTCTCCCCTCCTTTACGGTAGGTCCCATCCAGTGACATTTCTCATGCAGAGAAGTGCCCCTCTGCTCTGGCTCCCAATTTGCTTAAATAAAAGTATAACTGTCCGCTGTTTACTCTGTGCCTGTTCTTTGCAGGTTACTTGCATATGTCACCTCATGTAATTGTCACAACAGCCCTTTGAGGTAGGCAATGTCATCCCATTTTACAGCAGGGAAAGTTGAGGCTCAGACAGGCTAATGACTGAAACAAGAAAGGTCAGTCTGGTGACCGGTGGGCAGCAGAGCTTTGGTTCTTTCCACCAACCCAGGTGGCCCCCTGCCCCTCTGCCTCCACTTAATGAGGTCACCTGGGGACATAAACCACAGCAAAAGCAAATAGCTTCTGAAACATGCTCCCGGGAAGCGGAGAGGAGCATGGCCTGGGGGGCCGCGAGCTGGCAGATACCATTGAATCTGGCTTGTGATTTCCTCGGAGCAGTGCGGCTGACAGATCCCTTCAGCGCGACCCTCTGCAGCCTGGGGAGGAGGGAATGGAGGCGCCGGCACTGTGAGTTGCTGCGTTGTAGGGATGTTCTTCAAAGCAGTGCGATTAATCTCCTGGTCACAGCCAGCGCTCTGGGTCCTTACTCAGGACCGAGAAAGACTGCCTGTCCCAGAGCCCAGCAGAGTCACTCATTTGCACTCTTGGCCTCCTGATGTCTTTACCAGAGTGACTAAAAAGCAGCCTGCTGGGCAATTTCAGCAGCACTTTGTTCTTGGGCAAGTCCAAGGAGGCTGTGGCCAGACCCTGGGGACAGTGTTCTGGGACCACCTGGGGACAGCTTACCAAGGGGCTAAGTAGGGAAGGCTCCCGCCCTGGCATCACCAAGCCCGAGAGCCCCTCTCCTCCGTGGCCTGGCCAGTTCCCGTGGAGCTGACGCGGATGTGGAATTGTGGGGGGACGGCCCGCTCCAGCCGTCTCCCCCTCCTCTGGCCCAACCGCGTTCTTCTGCTGACTCAGCTTCCCTCTGGGCTGCTCTCTCCCCGTGGATGGCCAGGTTCTTTGTGCTGTTCTGGGTCCTTCTATCAAGAAGAAAAGTACCTGCAAATTACTCTACACTCAAGTGGGAAGATGATGTCCCTTCCAGAGTATTCAGGATTTTAAGTGAGGGTCTGGGTAGGAGATAATACTTAACCCCAAGTCGTTTTTCGGGCAGCATGGAGGCCCGATGCCAGCCAGGCAGCGGCAGTGTAGCCCTACCTTCACTGCACCTGCACCTGTTCTGAAGGAGGCTCCTCCTCGTGCCTCCTGGGCAACGCCAGGTGACACATTTCTCCCTCTGTCGGAGCGGCTTTGTGTGTGGGCGAAAACACACGAAGCCCACGGAGCCAAGCATCTGGGGACTCACCTGCCAGAACGCAGTGGCTGAGCTGCTCGTCTCGGCGCTCGGACTGTGGTTTGGGCAGAAGGCAGGCAGCTGCAGGGCAGGGGTCGCCCGACGGAAGTCCCACATCAGGAGGGCTTGGCCAGCTGATGTCAGAAGTCCCAGAACCTCAGAGCCAATGACACCATGTCCTCTTTCCCTGCAGGTATTTCCACTGCCCGGCGGACAGTTCAGAGCTGGCCTATGACCCGCCGGTGGTCATGAATGCAGACACCTTGAGTTACTGTCAGAAGGAGGCCTGGTGCAAGCTGGCATTCTACCTCCTGTCCTTCTTCTACTACCTGTACTGGTGCGTCTCTGGCCGTCGCGGTGGGTTCAGCTCCTGCGGAAGACAGAAGGGAATTCCAGGCTGGCTGTGGGGAGGTGGGCTATGAGGAGGGGAGTCCCGGCCACTTGGGCCACTCTGACCCAGGAGTAAGGGGGCAGAAGATCGGCAGGAGGCCTTGCCTGCAGGCAGATCCTTAGGGCCACGCGGGGGTGGGGAGCCTGCAGCCTCGAGGCCACACGTGACCCTCCACATCCCCAACTGCGGCCCCTCCACCGAATCCAAACTTCACAGAACAAATCCCATTAGTAAAAGGATTTGTTTGGTAACATTTGGATTCAGTCAAAAGGCCGCAGTCAAGGATCCAGAAGGCCACATGTGGCCCCGGGGCCGCAGGCTCCCACCCCCACCTGCCCAGTAGGGCTTCCTGCCTCCTCCATCTCTGTGGCCCAGCCACCAGGTGACCTGCGGCCCCAGATGCTCAGCCTCATGGCGCCCTGCCCCCCAGCCTGTTCGTAAGGATTTTTAGGTACTGTAATAGTGACTCCCCCACTTCCCCACCTCGGCCCCGCAGTGGCAGTCACGCTTCACAAAGTGACATGTTGGGTCACTAAATGCTTCCTTTACAATTCCCCCAATATTACGTAACACCATTCTCATTAAGTCCAACCTGCTGACTGCGCAGTTCCATTTCAGGAGTCTCCCCCTTTTCACCTCTTCCCTCAGAACACCCTAGCTAAGCAGATAGCTATGAACAGTCCGTCTTGTGCTTTGACACCCCAGAGACGGCCTTTTCTAAAACCTCTCCTCCTCCCGCTTCCTGTTCCTTGTTGGCTCATCTGACACTCTCACCTGTCACCTTGCGATCCCGCCATTACCTGTGGCAGGGCCCAGGCTATCTCCACAGCTCCCAGTGCTGTCTCCCAAGGGGGCCTGGTTGACAGCAGCCAGGTGGAGAGGAGGAGAGACTGGGAGGTCAGACGCCACGGCCACCTCTCGGTTTGGATTGGGCCGTGCCATTCTGGGATGCGGCTGCGTTTGTCTGGCATTTAAAAATGAGCCAGGCTTTGAGCTCAGAGCTTTATATGTATTTATCTCAATTTATGAGATACATACTATCCTTTCCCACACAGGAAAAGTGAGGAAACAAAATCTGAGAAGTTAGATAATTTTCCCAAGATCACGGCTTATAGTGTCACAGCTGTAAGTCCATCTCAAGTCCAATCCCAGAACTGAACTCTGAAGTGCTGGCTGTCTTAGGAAACCTCTAGAAAAGCCTTTATCAAAATGAGGGGCAGGGAATGAAGAGGGTGTGCTTCTTAAATGTGCAGATTTCTGGGCTTAGATCTACCAATTCAGACTTTTTGGGGCTGGACCTCTGCATTTTAAATGTGCTTTTCAGACAATTCTGATGCACACCTTGGCCACTCTGGAGAGTTCTGCCTGGTTCTGCCTTTCCTTCCCTCTATGTCCCCAGTGTCTGCAGACTCAAAGGCCCCGGAGTCGTAACTTCCCCTGGAATAACTCGGCCGTGGAGGGGATTCAGGCTACTCTTCCACATTCTTCTTGGAGTCACGGGCTGGTCCAGGTTCAGGGTGACGTCCATGATGGGGTGCTCTTGGACATTTCCTGCCCCAGCTTGCAGGGAGCCTGAGGGTCTTTGAAGGCTCTGGAGATTTCTGAGGTGCCCAGTGGGTCCACCAAGCCTTTCTGACTCCAGGTCTGAACTCTTTAATAACTAAGGACTCACTGACAGGTTCCTGTCTTGGGAAGCCTGTGGATGGTGGACAGAGCCCTTGTGGGCTTGGGGATGTGACAGCTTGAAGGACAGTTTTCCTCTCTGGAGTGTGTTCAACTTCCTTTTCTCTGTGGGGCTGCAGACTGCCCCTTCTGCACGTTAGTAGGCTGAGTGGCCTGTCCCCAGAGACAGGATTGTCTTTCCTCAAATCAGGCAGAAGAAGGCCTGCTTTCCCTGCCTCCTGCCCCGGTGGCCCAGGATCCACCTGGGTCTGGATGGAGACGGGGGCAGGACAGCTCCCTCGTTTCAGTTTTGTCACAGTAACTGCTGGAGCCCCAGGTGGGTGGGGAAGGAGGCGTGTAAATTCCCAGAGAGCAGAGCGGCTGTGTGTGCTCGCTGTGGGGTGGGAGGGGGTGGTGTGGGGTGGTTTTCGCAGCTCCCCGCCTGTCAGACGGGTGTGATCGTTCTGTAACAGAGTATGTTCCAGACATTCTGTTTGACTGTCTGTCCTTTAGTTCTGCAGTCCCCAAGCCCCCCGGGCTGCGGACTGATACCAGTCTGTGACCTGTTAGGTACTGGGCTGCACAGCCGGAGGTGAGCAGCGGGCAAGGGAAGCTTTGTCTGTATTTGCAGCCGCTCCCCATCACTCACATCACTGCATAAGCTCCGCCTCCTGTCAGATCAGAGGGGGCATCAGGTTCTCACAGGAGCGTGAACCCTACTGTAAACTGCGCATGCGAGGGATCTAGGTTGCGTGATCCCTGTGAGAATCTAATGCCTGATGGTCTGAGGTGGAGCTGAGGCGGTGACGCTAGCGCTGGGGAGCGGCTGCAAATACAGATTCTCATTAGCAGAGAGGTTTGACTGCACAATGAATGTAATGTGCTCCAATCATCCCAAAACCATCCCCCAACCCCTGTGTGTGGAAAAATTGTCTTCCACGAAACTGGTCCCTGGTGCCAAAAAGGTTGGGGACTTCTGCTCTAGTTCATTACTTCAGCTGGGCAGAGCCTGCATGTTACATTTGTTAATTCCTTTGTTTCCAAAACAAAATTGGAAACAGCTGTTCCTCCAGCCTCATGAGACCCTGGTGGTAGCCAGGGGGCACCCATATTCTTTGTTGAACTTGGGGCTCTTTGGGGCTCTTCAAAGACCCTGTTTCTCCTGCCTCGGGAGCTCCCAGCACGTCAGGTCCAGAGCTGATGGGGGCACAGGACCGTGAGCGCAGGCCGCGGCGGCCCCCCCTGCGTGCAGAGCTGCGCCTGGGCTGAGCACGGGGCTAGAGACTTACATGACCGCAGCTCAGAAGGTGGGCGTGGCGTTTCATGGCTCCAGGTTGCTAGGGGTTCCTGAGGACCTCAGGGCAATTAGAAATGTGTCCAAGGTCCCAGCTAATAATTAGCAACTTTTTCTCGGCTAGCCTGTGGACAGGTGATGTGTGTGAGTCACATGGGACGGGGACTAGCTAATACTGTTACTGATACTAATATCACCTGGGGAGTCCAGTGTGGACACTGCTCAACAGAAAAGTCTTTGGGAACCAAGAGTGTAAAGCAGGCTGATATTTTCTACTGAAAGTAGCACCACCCTCCTGCCTGGTGACTCTGGGTCATGCCTGCCTCTCTCAGGTTTATTTCTCTCAGGCTGTAATGATGTCACTTATGACTTACTTGTCTCTGGATGGCAGAGACCGTGTCGGCTTCACTCGCCTCTGTGTCTGCCGTGTCCCAGCCAGGGCCTGGCACGGAGCAGGCGCTCACTGAATCCTCCTTGTTCGTCGTCACAGCTTGGCTGTAGGTTTGCTCAGGGACCCAGCGTGGTGCCTGGCATGCAGTAGGTGCTCACTAAATGTTAAACGAACGAATGAATCAAAGTGAGTAAACGGAGGTGTCCACAGCAAGGCTCAGCATAGTAATGAAAAACCATAGGAGTTGGAGTGAGGACGTGGCTCCTCACCTTGCCGTCTGAGCTGTGTGACCTTGAGCGAGCCACCTCTCCCCTGAGCCTCCACTTCCGCACATGGAATAAGCCCCTCGAGCTCCGGGCCCGACCGGTAGTGCTGTGAGCATGAGGTGTAGCGGGGTCCTGAAGATGGGACTTCAGCTCCGCAGAAGAGCTTGCTGGGCCCGGCCCGTCCCAGCCGCACAGGGCTGGAAGTGAGACGTTTTAGTTGTCCTTTGGTCTTACTTCTTGGACTGTCCTTTTTTCTCTCTACAATGTGAAAAAGTGGTTGTTTCTTTTTCTGCCAAGCAGACAAAATAGTAGATTTTGGTGTGGATCGTTCTTCAGCCTTGCAGAATTAGCCGGAAGCCCTTTCCAAGAGCACAGGGACGGCTGTCCCTGCTTCCTTGTCAGTGCTGGGGCGATACCTTAGGTCACGTGCTCCCAGTGCATGTTCGATTCCTTGAGCCTGTTAAAAACCAGAGGGCCAGGGAGTTACCCAATAAAGAATTCGTTTAGTTCACGTGCCCAGAGGGCTTGTGTTCATACATTGGCCTTTACGACAGTGATGATGATCTTTTCTCCGGCTCTGGTGAATTATCCAGCATCGTCCGGGAGCCCCTGGACACAGCCGTCACACAAGCACGTGGCAGCTTGTGGCATAAAGAATGCGCTGTACCCCTCCCGCCCAGACCTGCCCTGCAATTGCACAAAAAGGAATAAGAACCATAATAATCACCCTGATGAGAACAGTAACAGGCGCTTAGAGCAATCACGGCTGGTATCCAAGGGACGCAGTATGCTCTCCTAACAAGTGTTTATTCCAGTGCTGCAGGCAGTAGTAGGGGCATGGCAGGGGGCAGCAAGATGCACTAGTGGCAGGAAGGAGGGGAAGCCAAGGGGTCTGGCCTTCGGAAGGTCCGTCTTTTGAGGGCGGCCTGAGTCCTTCGTGGGCTCCCACTAACACCTTCTGTTCCTTTCCTTTTTGCATCCAGCATGATCTACACGCTAGTGAGCTCTTAACGCAAAGACCATGCACGTCGTCAGAGACTGGGAAGGGAGCGGCCTGAGGCCGAGGAGTCCCTTCTGCGGGAGACTGGAGGAGGGGCCGGAGCGAGACCTGGGAGAGAGACCAGGCAGGCAGGCAGTGCCACCGAACACGAGTCCACCCTGTGTGCCTGTTGTTGCCCTGTGTATCATGGTCTTCGGCGTTCGAATCCCACACATTGTTGAGCCCTTCTGAGCGTTGGGGGTGCAGGGAAGTAGGTGACGAAACACTAACCTCTCCTGAGAGAGAACTGCCGTTTCCTGAATCCACTGCATCGAACAGCGCCCTGCGAGTTCGCACTGCGTTCCTGGACCGTGGGCGTGGAGACGGGAAGGCTAGAAGTGCCTGCTAAGGACAGGAATGACCTAGAGCCAAGGCCAAGTGTGCGGGACCGCCGAAGGCCTCAAGGAAGTCGTGGACTGCCCAAGACTCTTGTTTCGTTGTTTTCTTCCCAGCCACGGCCACACCTTGCGCCTTGAATGGGAGGGCTGGAGGCATCTGGGATGCGCCTTCAGCTGCAACCAGCTGCAACCAGCCAGGAGCCCGCCGCGCTGTTTTCAGCTGGGGATGGGGGAACAGAGGGAAAATGGATTTTTTTTTTAAACGTTTGCAACACGCTCAAGGTGTTAGTTCTTCACCACCACCACGAGTTGTATTCTTCTCCTGCTACCCAAACCCATCATAGAGCCATTTAATGCAAATCAATTGGGCAACACTAATCAAAGCTACCTTCTCAAAAGTTCCGAGCCCAGAAAATCCTGTAGAGTGTCTGCTCGGTGCTATGGGCATCCCGCAGCCAGGAAGAGAGACGGCATAAGTGTAACTCCGTTTTATGGTGCTGCATCATTTGTACTGTTTAGTTCAACATGAGGACATCAGTTATTTAGAATTTTCCATGTGGCATTCTCTCGCTTTTGGGTGGGAGTTGTGCTGGGGTTGTAAAGAATAGCAAGGCTGAGACTTTTATGATGTTTAAATTGGGCACAATGGTTTTGACCTTATTCCCCCAACTTCCTTTCTTTTCTGCTGTTCAACGTATACAGGCTATTTATACATGTACCCAGCTTCATCTGAAACCTGTGACTCAGGTTTGAGTGGTGTTTGTGTTACACATTGTGTGCTCTGGTTATTAAAATGCAGCGACAACTTGAGTGTCTCACCTAACCGGCACTCACATTTCAACCTCATTGCAGGCTGGATTCCTCTATATATGGTTGGCAAACTGGTAGGTAGAAAAGGCAAATTTTCAAAAAGTCATTGTGCTTCTAAAAATTCCACGGCAAACAAAATGTAGACTTCCTCTCTGAGGTTAATGGTATAAAACTGGAGAAATTGAGGTGATTATTTTTGGAAGAAGGCTTCCCCTTGGCCAGTGGCCCTTCTCCTGGCTGGGTGACTATTGTTGGGAGTAGAGTCACCTTTAGGGCAGCTTGGCTCTGGCTTTGGCTACCTTCCCGAGAGGACTAGTTACCCTCATCCAGAGAGACAGGTCCTGGATTGCAGGCTGCAGAGATAACCCTATAGCTGTCTTGCAGCTGAATGGAGAGGGTGAACTGAATGTTACTTCTCACCATGGAGCTGTTTTGCTTTTTTTTTTTTTTTTGAGACAGGGTCTCCCTCTGTCTCCCAGGCTCCCAGGCTAGAGTGCAGTGGTGTCATCATAGCTCACTGCAACCTCAAACTCCTGGGCCCAAGGGATCCTCCTGTCTCAGCCTCGCAAGTAGCTGGGACTACAGGCATGCACTACCACACCCAGCTAATTTTTCTATTTTTTGTAGAGATGGGGTCTTGCCCTTGCTAGGGCTGGTCTCGAACTCCTGACTTCAAATGATCCTCCCACCTTGGCCTCCCAGAGTGCTAGGATTACAGGCATGCACCACGGTGCCCAGCCATTTGTTTGTTTTATACTTTGATGCCTTCCAAAAAGATTTGAAGTGGCTCATAATAGGAGACACAAGTACATAAAGACTGTTAAAATGGAAATAGGAAATTCAAACTTATAAAGAAGGACACAGAGACACCAGCTTCCTAAGGCTCTATTTATTGTGATTGAGCATTCAATTTGATGTCATTTCTCTTAGTAGTAAATAATTCACATTTATGTAGTGCTTTATATTTTACAGATTGCTTTCGCATCTTCTCACTTGATCCTCATCACAGTCCTATGAAATCGATATTATTGTTTTTCCCACTTTGTAAGTGAGGAAGCTGAGGCTCAGAAAGGGTAGGGGGCTTGCTTATAGTCACACAGCAGTGGCAGACCTACCTTTTAAACTCAGATCATATGACTTAGAAAACCCCATGTGCTTTCCATCACGCCTGTAAGTTGCCAGAGTAGCTTAAGGGCCTGTTAAGGTTTGATTAGTAGTGTTGACTTTTGAGAAAAATAGAAGATTTTATAGCATTGGCTTTTTGAGAAAAGGAAATTTTAAAATTGGAGCTTTTGAGGAAGGGCTTGGGCAGCCTGGTTTTCTTTTCTTTAGTGTACTGGCTTCAGATCTGCTTTATTTTGGCAGGTTCTTTAAGGCAAAACTTTAAAAGTTTTAAAAGCTCCAAGCTGCTAGGAGGTTAGGTAGCTCTTATGTTTATGAAAGAGAAACATCCAGGTATTTCCCTCCCACAAGTTGTGACTGGGAAATAATTCCAGTGATCTGCTGGAAGTTTCAGCAAATTTCCACTGCCGGGAAGAAGCTAAAAATTATGATAAAAATGGAAGTAACAGGCACAGGTGACGGAGCACATGTGCTGTGCGAGGCGCTGCGTTCAGTGTGTGTACCGCGATCTCACCCAGCCCTCGCGATGATCCTGCAAAGCAGGTGAGATACTCCTGTCCTCGCTTCACCTGTGGGGAAACTAGGGATCTCAAGTAAGGTGAGTTCTTCCTGGGTGAACTGGCTCAGAACAAGGGCTCAATGCTATCAGTAAGTGGCCAAATAATGTCAATAGTTATAAATCGAGTCATCAGTGTTCTATATGCTTCATGTGCTTTTTTCTGATCCCCACGACGATACCACTGGGTAGATGTCATCTGTGTTTTATGGACGAGGAGAGCTGAGACGATGGTCCCTCGCAGAGCTCCACAGCTAGTGAGGGGTGTGGGCAGCTGCAGCTGGGATTCACACTCGGTCTGCCTCTTCTCACCTAATTTTGCTTGCTTGGATGTTTCTTATTGTTTCTCCCACAGGAGTGACCACAGGGAAGAAGAGAGCAAAGCAGAGCTTCCCGGAGCTCTGGTGATCACGGAGTATTTTCCTTGCATGATGGAGAACTTACCTTACCAAGCATGGGTCAGGAGAGTTTCCTGGGGTGCAGAGACATCCTCTGAAGGTGCAGTTGGTGAACTGGCTCCCCCTCCCGTAGAGAGGGAGAGCCACAGGCCCGGTGTGGCTGTGCCCACAGGGTCAGAGTGGGACCTGGGAGAGTCACCTAAGCTCACTTTTCACTTCTCTGAGGTGGGAGAGTAAGTAACAGCACCCGCCACACTGGCTTGCTGCAAGGATTGGATGAGTTTGTGCCTGCAAGTAACTTACAACCCTGCAGTGCCCTGCAGGTGGTGGGCACTACGTGACTGTTTGTAGAGGGCGAGTCTCCTCTCTATGCCAGGGCAAGATCCCCCCATCTGGGGACACCATGAAGCCCACTGGCCGTGTGGGAAGGAGTGACGATCCCTGGATGTCGCTGCCCTCCCGAGGCCTCGGTCGGTCTGTAGCATCCTGAGCGGAGGGCAGGCTAGGACCTGGCCTCGCCTGTTGCCACATTCTCTAGCCAGTAATGCTGACATCTGCTGTCAAATACTGACCATGTGCTGGACGCCCTGCACCACACTCGATGTACGTGGTCTCATTTAATCCCACAACAATATTGTGGAGTAGAAACTATTACTGTCTTCAGTTTGTAGTAGAAAATACTAAAGCTTATAGAGGCCAAGGTCGCGATTGCTAATAAGTCACAGAGCCTAGAATTCAACCCACGTCTTTTTGATTCCAGGGCCTTGACCGTTTTCACATTCCTGAAAGGGTGACGCAGTACCAGGAGGGCAGTGGGGTGTGAGAAAGGGAAGAAAAGGGGACAGAGACGCAGCAGGAGAGGGGCTGGCTTAGGAGCGTGGCTCTGCTGAGCTCAGGTGTTTCACAGCGAGCAGCTCGGTGCACATGACTGATCAGGAGGATTTGGGCCGTGGGATCTTGTGCAGGCTTCTTAACCTTTCTGAGACTCAACTTTCTCATCTGTTAAATGGGGGTAATAATACCTCCCTTTGAGAGTTGTTGTGATAATTAAAGTAAATTATGTACAGAATGCTTGTAGCAGAGAACCTCTCTCCTAGTGGATGCTCAACAAATCTTCACCTCGGGGCCCCACCCCACAGCCCCTCCACAGAGTTGACGGGAGGATTATATATAGAGAAAATGGGTAAAATGCTTCTCATAGTAGCACAGGGTAACATTCAGTGAATCTCAGCTTCCTTCCTTTCCTCCCTCCATCCTGGGGGCAACTGTCCCAGGCGTGCGACATGGGGTAGCAGAGCTCAGCCCTTTCAAGAAAATCTCCCCTTCGCTTCCTATTTTTAGGCTTGGTAATTGCACCAATGTTGAATAAAGTTGTCATCGTGATGACGGTTTTGTTCTCCTACATAAGAGATGAATGCAGCCGGCAAATGCTTTGACAATAATTTAATTGCACTCACACGGTGTCATTACACAGATCCATTTCATGACCCTCTCTTCTCTTGGACTTGGGCTGCTGTATTCCAAACTGTGCTCTCATAAATGCCTCTTTTGGCAGAACTTTCTTGGCAGGACCTTGGAGTGGCCGGTCCAAGCCGGACATCTGGGGGGCTGCCTCTGCTCTGGACGCTCAGGCTGTCATCACCGTCGGTGTTTGAAGACGCATCCCGGACTGTGCCTTGTCACTTGGTGCGTCTCATGCAAAGGAGAGGAGGATCTGAGCGGGGGAGAGATTCTTCAGGACACAACCAGGTGTTTCTAGGGAAAGGTGGTGGCAAGTTTTAGCATTGTCCGGTGTAGGAGCAGGGAGCGGTCTTGCCTGTGGGAGCAGCGTGGGATGG